GGCTCTTAAGAACTGATGACATTGATGAAAAATGATGAATGTGGTGGCTGAAATCTGTATTTTATCGGTGTTAAAAAGTAATATAATATGCTTTTTGGTAAATTAAACTAATTAAAATCATATGTCTTTCGTATTCAAGTCATCACCTACTCATGAAGCAGTAATGATAAAAAGGTAAATTATACACTGTGAAAAGATGAAAAAAATGTTTCAGATGCTTTACCTTTTTATCAGTTTCATTAGAAACACCGACGCAGCTCACACTAGTTTTATCTCTACTCATGAGGGGTTCCCAATGGTGTGCCCTTAATGTCATTAGGCGTTTTAGGCTTATCCAAATTTCTTATCCAAATTTTGACTCCCCAAATGATTTGGGCATTCGAACAACACCCCCAATGTTTAAGTCGGCCACAATAGACAGCATAATCCTTAGGTCAAATAACAACAGGCCGGAATTAAAAACTAGGGTCGGAATTAAATACAGGGGTATTTATTATACATTTTGTAAACTAGGTAACTATAAAGATTTAATAAGCCTGAARCGAGATGACGTTTTAACCCTGTCTCTAGACCATAATCCTTTTCACACTGCTTTTGTTCTTTAATTATGACTATTGTTCCTGTATTCTCTAAGGAATCAAAAATTTTAATATGAAAGAATTTTAAAAACTATTATGGTATAGAATCGGGGGTGAAATGTCATCTTGCTTCAGGCTTATTCTGCTTCCAAAATAGCAAAAAATAGCAGATAAGCCTACAAATAATACATTTATCATGACAAGCTCACATGATATCATGGCTTCTCAGCCATTCAGTAGTGAGATGAGTGAGTAAGATGTCTAATAATATAGTTTACTTACAGCTTTAAAGATCATGTGTAGAGGCAAAGGAACATTGAAATTCAAGGCATAGTTATTGATAACACTTGTTAAAAAGAAATATGTCACCATGGTAATGTAGCATCTGCCAAGAGAAAAAAATAATTAAAAACACTTAACATAGAATTCCAGTCCTAGTTGGCTCATACAATCTCGCAAATAAATTTGGGTGGGCTTATGATTCGTGGGGGGTGGGGGGAGGGGGGGAACTTTTGACTGGGATGGCTTATAACCTGGAGGGGGAGCAGGCCTATTAAAAAGGAGGAAAAAAGTGACTGAATTCCTTTAGTATTAGGGCAATGTTATCATACCCATACAACAAAATTAAATCAGTTTTATCTTATAACTTCACCCAAAATATTATTTTCTATTTTTTATTACTAATTGTCAATGTGTAGTTCCAGAAATCATCCATACCCACCCCTCAGAGGAATTTGGAATTTCTGAAGAGTAGGGGATCAGAGAAAGAACAAAAATTACAGAGTTTGTATGGAAGAAAATTGRAATTTCCGGGGGGTAGGGGGATGTCTTAAAAAAATTCCTCCATGAGGGGGGTATATGGACAATTTTTGGAACTACACAATTCCAGTTATGAGCCCTGGGTTGACCTTGGTCATATAATCTCGCAAGTAAATTTGGGTGGGCTTAGCATTGGCGGTGGAGGAAGACAGGGGGGGCTTTAGATTGGGGTGGCTTATGTTATGACCTGCAGGGGGTCGTCAAGCTGGACTTTTAAGAGGGAAAAAATAGTGCCTGAAATCCATCTATTAGGGCAATGTTATTATACCCGTGGAACAAAATTAAAATAGTTGGAACTTAACACCACCAAAATATAGGCTAAATGCAAACTTAAAAAACAAATGAAAAACAAAAGGCTAATTTGTAATTTCCACATGAATATTTACCACACAACGCACCTTAAGCTTGAATAATATAATTGATGCGCTCGTGTTTAATCACACCTTAATAAACCTTGATAAGTTTCTCATGAAAATAAAGTGATGAAAGTATCAATGATTCAATTCTTTGATTGCACATTACATCATCATGGCCATGTTGGTGTCATTGTTAACGGCACCATGATGGCCGCCATGTTTTTGTCTTTTGACTCCCTTGGGAATGCTCGCAATCCATGCAATAAAAACAAATAGGTCTCTTTTTTATTATTATTATTTTATCGCACAGGCATAATGACTACACTCTAAAAAAATTAATCATGATCAAACAACAGC